ACTTATTTTATGCAAATCTGATCACGGTTCTTTAACTTTAAGGAGCAAAAAAAATACATCGGAGAGCACCAATTTTATCAGAGGGCTTGAGAGGTCTGCATACAAGTATGTGAACTGGCCTGAGAAAACCACGGGACAAGTCCTAACCATCAAGGTCAAAGATCAAACAATGAGTTTGTGAAACAAACCATTTTCTAATGACTTATTCCTGGATAAGAGAACTGAATGTTTTCTATTAATTAAAAAAATGTCTAAAAACTTCAATTTGAAGTCCACTTTTTCCCCCTTTTTTTTTCCAGTTTATCTTTCTCGGATTACCTTATAAAATCCACACAAAATAAAGCTACCAAAGCTGTACGATAATCTGTAAAAGCTGCAAATTCATAAAATACATTTTGAAAAGTCATTGATTATTCCTATTATATCCTATGCCAACACACGTACTACAAACTGGTAGCTGGCTTAAGACGTATTACCCGATTCTTTTCAGTATTTGCTCCAGATATGAACTTCATTCAACTCCATCATTCTCTTAAGTACCATGATATTGCAGCCTTATATGACCTGAAACGCAACGCATTAAAGCAAATTTGGCAGTTTGGGGTTGGGGGAGGGTTCTATTCAACATGCAACTTCTTTCGACAATAGAAAAAAAATATGGAAAGATAACTATCAAACTTGAAGAATTTATAAAATAATCAACTTCTTAAGCATGCACATACCGTGGTACATTAATGCACTCAAAGAACGCACTGCAACCCGCAATTACATCCGTATCACAGTTAGAAGAGGAGGGTACATTTATCCCACCATTTTTTTAGCCTGAAATATTCAAGTGTACTAAAACATACAACAAATGTGTCGTCGAAATGCGGTGAAGTCAGGCGCTTGTCAAGTTTTGGGCATGTGGAGCTATTGATATAAGCTTTGAGCTTGACCTGTCCATTTGTCTTTCTTTCTATGAAAAAACAGTGTATCCATCTATACTGAAAAGAAGTCACGATATTTGCCATTGATGGAGGTAGGGTCACCTGGGGTCGGAGGTAATGTTAGGGAAAAAATAGCTGCCACAGTTTTGTGACTTCCAAAGCTTCAGTATCTCTGGAAACTGCAAATTTACATCTTTTGTGCCTTTGATCAACGTCTTTCAGTAAAATCACCTTAGAAATGTGTCTAAAAAAAGGAAGCAAAAGATGTTGAGTGCAAAATAAAGCAAAAACCAATAAAAATTGCCCAATGGGAGGAAAAAACTTGACTTCTTTGATTTCATTATTTTGACGAGCGCCTGATTTCACCACGATGCCACGCATGTTTACCAGTACAAACAACAAAAATGACAAACAATTCAATTTTTATTCCCATAGAGGGACAGGGAGAAAAACCTGTCACATTCTTCAAGGCAGGTCCTGTAAAAGTTTCAAATCTTTTTTTTTTTTAGAAAAGAACATATTCGAAAACCCTTAACCCTCCAAATGATCAAAGATGGTTAAATCTGCATTAAGTTTCATTCTGTTTAATTCTGGCTGATTTCTATTTCAGTTCATTTACCACATTTAAAAAAATATAATGCCAAACATTCCAACTCCTTCACAAATGAGCTCTACTTCCTAATTTTGCGTCCTACTTTCTACAAATTGAAATAATGGTCATCATTAGCTTGATTTGCCTGTTCTCAAGCACTTTCCAACATAATATGGAGAAACCGTATGACTATGATTTCCTCTGACATCACAGGCTATTAGATAGAGACATGAAGGCTAATTCTTCAAGGTTGGACACAATCAGCCCAGAGGATCCATACAAAATCCTTCCCTCTACACAAAAGCAAAGTCTGAATTCAAAGTATGTGAGTTTCAAGGCCTGCAGAGTGTTGGTTAATCCTTTATAGCATCAGCAGTAACCATGTAACTGTAGCCTGTAGATCTGCTCTCAAACACACAGATACCCCTCTTGCTTTTAGAGAGAGGAGAGAGAGGGGGGGGGAGAGGGAGGGAGAGAGAGAGTACTCCTGATTTACGTCTCTCAAAAAACAAGATAGAAAAAAAATTAAGACATTGATAAATATAATAAATATCATACTATGTATAAACCTCTACACTTCTAGATTAATAGGGGACGAGTATTTTTTAAAAATTAATAAAATTTGTCAGCCAAGCTTTTACAAAATATTACGTCTGAAGTGTATCAAACTAATTTTGAATCGTGTTTCATATTTTCTTCACAAATTTTAAAAGCTATTCATGATAAAATATGAAAGTTCGATTGCACAAAACAAAATTTGATTCAGATTACCATTTACCACTACACAAAATCATTGGCAGCACTGTAACCACCAGAAACAAGAAAATACTGCAGATGTACCTTTCTATTCTATTTGATAATAGCAACATTAACATAATGCTAACCGTAGCACTAACACATGTTAGCAGTAAGAAATATGTAGAGATAAACATTATAATAAGAACTACATAATAATCTAAAGCTGGTCAATTAAATCGGGCCATCACTACATGAAATAAACAATACTGGCCGCATTAAGTACGGTAAATCCTGCTCTCACCACCACCTGTCCAAGACAATGACCTGTACAAAACAACCGCTTCCCACTTCCCTTTTGAATCGTTACTTATAACGACACTGCCCAAGACAACAACCTGCCTAATACCCAGTGCCCATTGGGGGATCGAAAAAAAAACATGATCGCCAACCAATCGCCCAATTTGCGGCCTGAAAACAAATGCGTTTGTTCTTGAGGCTGCGAGCAGGGCAATTGGTTTGTGCCACGATTGTCGCTTTGCGCTCTCAACCTAGCTAGCCTCGCCTACCAAACCGAACTGAACTGATAGTGCCAATGGGCACCTCCTATATAAGACGAAGGAATGACCACTTTTCCCCTCGACAAAGGTCGGTCATCTCCTACAGCGTCCAAATGTGATTCGAAACAACAGCCTACATTTTTAAAAATGCCTGTCTAATGACATATAAATATGTGACTCATCGTGGTGAAATCAGGCGCTCCTCAAAATAATAAAAAAGAAGAAACCTTCATTTTGCCACCAATTTGGCAATCTAAATGGAATTTGGGAGGGGGGGGGGGGGGATCAACACCTTCTATGTCCATTTAAAAACATATTTCTGAGTGTTTTTTACTGAAAAATACTGATGAAATGCAAAATTCCCGTTTCCAAGGACTCTAAAACAATGGAAATCACCAAATTTGGCAGCCATTTTCTTACTAGTTATACATCTGAAATAAGGCAACCCCCACCTGCTCCAATCGCAAATATCTCGACTTCTATTCAAGATAGATGGGTGGGGGTTTTTTCATGGAAATGAAAACAGTGAAGAAGCTTTAAGATGAGAGCCATAAGTCCATATGCCCAAACATTGAGGAGAGCCTAATTCCACCGCGTCTTGACACAAATGCCCCTCTAATTATATAAACACAGCTTTTGGTCACAGGCTGTTCCTGTAAGATGTGGAAAGCCTAATCATTTTTCCAGCTGGATTTGACGCCAACGCAGAGTGTGATGCAAATAATTTTGTACAATTCAGGAAAAAAACAAATGCTATTTAGGTCACAAGCGACTAATCACTTTCAATTGTTTCCTTTAAAATGTTGTCTTAGAACACACATCATTATAATCAGAGGTGTCGACCGGCTACAAAAAAATACAAAACCTTTGAGACCCAATGAACAAGATTGCATGGGGACTCAAAATTTACAAATCATACTGCCTTGTAATGCATCTAGTACCAAAACCATTTTCGCAACCATCAGACTCGAGTCAGGCAGAAACCAGACAACTACTTCAGAAATCTGGATATTCAGATTTCTCCGGAAAATCGGCATGTCTGATTATTTTTACCCGACTTAAACCCACAGTGTGCCAAACGGCAAGGCCTTAGACAAAAATACAGACGGTATTTACAAGGCTGCACCATCACCAAATTTGGCATTTGGACATCTCAAGGAAGGTATATGGAAAATCAACTGGCAAATGCTATTTTAACGATTAGCCCACAACAACAGAATGAAGCAATGTGAAATCACAAAACCAGGTAAAAAATCTGTGCATGCATGCATGTCATGAATAAAAATCTACCCACAGAGTGACTGTGAGCAAGATTTTGAACAAAGCCATGAAATGAAATCAGCTGAAATCAGGGAAACACTCCCATTTTGGTTACAATAAATAGTCAAAAACTTTTCCCAGCTATATGATTCTTTAATTATTCTTAACTGATTCCGTCCATGATTTTTTCAGGCTCTGGACAGAATTATTTTTCCCTGTTCAGTTTTAGACCTGGGGTGCATCTATTTAATGCATTACTGCGAAGCTCTAAGCTACTCTAATAGGTATTGTCATATACCAAACTGATGGGAATAAATAGAAGAATCTGTTTATATCAATAACAATGACCTAAAATCTGTTTGTATTGCATTTTCCTTCTGACAAAAACGAATGAGAAAAAAAATTGCGCAACAGCTCTTCGATAAATTTCGACTTACCGCATTTTCTCAGCTCTACAAGTCCTTATAATCCATAGAAATCAACACAACATTGTAGCGATATCACCCTAGCACACATTTATGCAATAATTTCATAAATTTAGTTGAATATCTTTCTTTGAAGAGCCTTTTCATTATACCAGGCTCTTTGTTGTTTACCCTTAGATCTAGCCTACATCGCGACAACAAAACAACGATTTTTGCAAAAATTTCGCGGAGTTTTGATCGATATTGGCGCTCAGAGATTGAGGTCAGGTTTGTTTACAAGTTGTACTTCCTTTCGACAACTTAAAAAGTAGGAACTATGTTAAAAAGTGCACCTTTGTTTCGGATTTCGTTGAGCCGTTCCCAGCGGCCGAATGGAGGCAGCGGAAAAACTCAGAGCCGCTGTCAGCGGCCGAATGGACGGAATCAGTTAAAAGAGAGATTAATAAGAAAAAAGAAAAAAAATTTTAACATGTTTAGAAATAAATATTTTGATAAGTTGTTTTTTTAAGATGAGGGAATATCACTTGACCAGGTAAATCATCTGCACAGCTGTCTACAATTTACCATACCTGAACATATCCATTGAAATGAACATTATAAACAAACAAGAACTAGGACCCAAAAATGACAAAAATAATAGAAAAGGTACTTAAAAAAGGCATCAGGGGCAAAAGTGCTCCAGATGGTGCATACGGATCTACACCGCATGATTTCCTGTGAGAAAAAGTTCTTTTGGGTAACTTCTTGCCCGTCTTGTCAAGGCCCAGCAATTGAATGGCTGGTCCGAATCATGAAGGAGCACACCGCTCGAATCAAGAAAACAATCCCCAAAACAAAACCACCTGAAACAAGAAAATACCACAGAGTTACTTTTCTGTTCTACTTAAGAGGAGTATTGCTGGCACACAGCTAGTAGTAACAGTAATACTATGTGGTAGCAGCAACAACGATGCAGACATATAATATAAAGACGACTCTAAATTTTATCTCAGGTCGCTGCTAAATTCTTAAGGGCATTTTTTAACATCTGGGATAGAAAGTGGGAGTTGACCTGGTTCTCCAACAACATAAAAACAAATGGAAGCACACACAATAAAGGGCTGGCTGTCGGGAAAAAAAATTATTGCCTCTTAAATTTACAATTACAAGGCAAAAACACGTGAAAAACAACTTAAAACATTTAAAATTCAACCAAGGGGATTTCAAAGTGGTCTATAACTAAGAAAATCAACTATCATGTTAGAAAATTATCAAGTTTTTAAACTTTCAACCAAAACTGAATGAAAGCAAACTTGACAAATTTTCAAAATTCAACCAATAAGATGTGTATTTCTGCAGTTCAGAATTATGAGAATTTGATGTACTGCTTGAAATAGGGTCTCTTTTTTCACACTAGACACTCAGTACTAATTAAGAGAGGGAAAAAAAAAAAGTGGATTAATAAGTACAAGCAATGGCAAGACAGCAAACAACAACACATATTACTTAACACATTGAGCAAACATCATTTATCACACAAACATTCCAAACAAGCTCACAAAAACATGCGGCGAGACTCAATACAATGAGTTTCAGGTCTAAATTTTTTTAATTTTTTAATCACCTACCTATCCAAGCTACATATATTCCTCCGTTGTGGCGAGCTGATTCGTATGTCCCCACCTAAAGAAAGGAAAAATAGTTAAACAACAATTCAAAAGTAAAACTAAAAGTAACTCCTACAGACTTTATCTTATTTGGGGCTGTTTTTAGTTGTTTTTTAAAATAGATAAACAAAACGAAATAGTCTAAGACAGCGACCCATTGTCAAAGAGAAAAGTGGCCGTCTTACAAAGGGGAGAAATGGCAATTGGCTGTTTGCACAAGTATTATACAGTTGGCCGTTAGAGCAGGTTCAACTGTATCAACAATGAAATGGATATTACAAATGATAATCTCAAATTTCAATTTCCCTTTATAAACTCAGGGACAGCTCACTAACTTTTACTTTCTCATCCTCTGTTGTCATTAAGCGTCGAGGGGAGAAGCAGTTTTCTATAGTAGGCCAGCCCCGTAGCTCTTTGAATTGGGATATTATAATTTCTCAGGGTTTCCTTGACTCCTTCAATCCACCTTTGGCATGGCCTTCCTCTAGGCAACGAAGTACTTCTTAATATTTTGACCAGGAAATGTGACAAAAGACAGGTCTTGTTGACAATGGCTCCTCTCACTAAAAACGTTCCTTAGGGCCATGGTTTATTCATACTTTAAAAAATGGTAACCTTTTTAACTGTTTGAGTCCTCACCTCCTGAGATTATCATTCCACTTTAGCATGACCTCCTGAGAAATTAATTCAGGTCTATATTTAATGCTCAATTTTTCAAACTGCACGCTCACAACTTCCACAAGGATGCAGACATCTCGGCAAGACATCAGCCAAAGTAAATATAAAACAGCTTTTTTTTATTTGCCATTGTAACACAAATTTCCCTACGAAAAATAAATATAATATAATATAAAATTATTTATTTTATTTTTTCATGCACGAAACCGTACCGTGACTCCTATGGAACCTGCCAAGAAAACGACAGCAAGAACCACATAAAAGTAGCCTCTCCGTCGAACGTGGTTGACTCCAAGAGCTGACCTACATAGATAAGGAGATCATTACTTCAGTACAACAAACATGCTTAAATAACCAAAGGGCTGAAGATTAGAGATTTACTGAAGAGTAACATACAAAGAAAAGAAGAAAGAGAGGTAAAGACTATAGATATTTAATAGGAAAGAAGTCGCAGAGACAAGGACGATAATGTTTGATAGGTACAGTTTTATTGACATTACATTGAATTGATAAAGAGAGTAAAGATAACTAAAAATATGCCTCAGGAAAAAGATGCAGTTTTAACGGCGTTTTAAACACTGGACCATAATGTAAAAAAGAACAATGTGCAGAAAATTTGTAGGTTTTTTGGGGTTTCCTTTTCATTTTAGTCAACAGAGAAATCTGTGCAGGGAATCCAGTTTACTCTGCTCACCTCTCTAGCTCCAACTGCACAAAGTCTGCTTCGACTATCATCAAGTAGAGCTGTGCCCATTCGACGTTACTATTTGACATTCATGATTTTTGCACTATTCACAGCTATTCGAAGCTTGGCTGAGCCATTCGAATGCCGTGTGATTTTTTTTTCTAACAGATAATAGATTTTCGTCTCATTTTTCTCAAACGTAGAAACATTGGAGCACATTATATCTAAAATCATTAAGATAAATATGCAGAAATACTCTTTATTTGATGCTTACGAGACAGAGTGATAAGAGATAAGAGGAGCCTTCAAGAAGCATAAAACAATCCTTTCAAGAATATCTCTTACTATTCAATATTTACTCGCCACAATATGGACAGCTCAAACAAGGGCACATGACTCTTGAAGCGCAGCGAATGTTTTTTCCATGAAGTAGCTGTCGTAATGAGCTCCCCTAACCCTACTCAAAATTCAAAGCACTATGAACGGTGACGTGATGTCAACACGTTGCACTGTCTGCAACAACAACACACACGCACTCAGTGACTGGCGGACTATTACAATAAAAGAAAAAATAATTCGACAGTGCTTCGAATTGCGGAAGCTAGATCTGGGCTTATCACATATAAGAAAAAACGATTCGGCAGCGCTTCGAATTGCAGAAGTTAAATCTGGGCTTATCTTATATAAGAAAAAAAAAAATTCGACGGCGCTGTGAATACCAGAAGTAAGATCTGGGCTTATCACATATAAGAAAATACGATTCGACTGCGTTTCGAATTGCGAAAGTTAGATCTGGGCTTATCTTATATAAGAAAAAACAATTCGACGGTGCTGTGAATTGCGCATGTTAGGTCTGGGCTTATCACATATAAGAAAAAAATCATTCGACAGCGATGTGAAAAGCTAGCGAATGTAGAATAGTGGACCTTAGGTCTGGGTTTATGCTTAATATATTATATAAGAAAAAAACATTAGACGGAGGTATTCGAATGTCATGAATAGTGAGCTCACGCTTCGAAGCTTCCATGAATTTTTGTTCCCTCAAAATCGCACAGCACTACTATCAAGACACCCCGAAAATAAAGGGTCACAAGAAAGTGGCAAACATACAAAAGAAGTAGAAGAAAAAGAACGATAAGGATTAGGAAAGAAAAAGCAGCAGTTCCCTGTTGCAGTTCAGGCACAGTTATGAGTATGACATTGATGAATCAGCCCATTTACAATTCTACTGTGCAAAAGAACATGTTAATGTCCCCCCTTTGGGAATGGCCTAAAGACACTTCAGTCAGCAGCACAGTGCCGCGGGGGGGGGGGGGGGGGGGGTTGTTTTAACTGCTTTTTAAACACTGGACCATAATGTATAAAGGAACGTCATCCATAAATTCTGTAGTTTACTTCTTAGGGTTAGTGTAAAATTGTTTTATCACAAGACGACATACAGGCACTGATAAGCAACATGATTTGCACAGCAAACAAGACAACTTACAATCTTCTACAACTGGGACATCTGGCAAAAGGTGAAACTGTCCTCACCTGAAAAACAAAGGATTGAGAAAACAAATCAGCAATGATAGTTCTTACAAAATAATTTCTTATTCAAAATTGTATAATTTCTTTATTAATGAAATAACAATGCATTGAGAAAAAGAGCCAATCTTGCTTAACGGTAAACAAATCACTACTAAGATCAATGTGGGCATATATCAAAAATATATCATAGGCCTGGCATTCAGGTGTTTATAAGCCCAAAATTTTGTTTGTTTGGTAAGAGTTTTAAAGTAGGTTTTTTTTTAAATTGTTGTTTCTTTGTCTGTAATATCGGTTGTACGTGCTCAAGAAAACCTAGTATAAATTCAAATTCTTTAAAAAGTTGAAAAAGGCAAAAAATGAATACATAAAGATGGTACAACTGTTAAAAGAATGAAAAGTTTTCTCCTTCTCCCGAAAATTTTCGCTTTCTTGGCTTAATACATTAATTTGACACAGCTCGCTGACGTGATTTTTCTCCAAAATGAAATAATGTCTGAACTACATAGATCTATGTATTCCCCTCAAATCATTTGATTGATATAAAGCTTGAATCAGACCAAACAAAAGAGAAGTATCATCGATAAGGAAACGGAAAATTTCTGCGAGACCAAAGACACTAATGATGAAACTATGCTTGTAATGTTCTACTTTTTCTCCTCAATGCCTAAAGAGAATGTGAATAACAGCACTTACCACAAAGTTCTCTTCACAATAGACACACTTGTATGTCAACGGAAAGTGAGCAAAACCAGGACCATCGGTGAGTGTTATAATTCTCTTACTGAGGAAGAGAAAGATGCATCAAGAGTTAAATAATACTTCTCTTACTAAAGGAGGGGATCAAGGACTGGTGATGGGTCTCATTTAAATATTGAGAAATGCCAAAGCCTCTCAAACAGCTTCTCCCAATCCAGCCAACCGTACCTGCCCGTGGTGGTCCCTGTCCTCACTGACACGGCTCTGGCGAATGACGAGTTGTTAGCGCCAACAAACCAACCTCCCCGTTTCCTACAACAGGATGGGAGCAGGTGTGGCCCCACAAGGTGCAGGAAGCAGAACCCACCGATGCGTGGTAGACGCTATGCTCCTCACTAACACACCCCTACTCTCCCTTGAGTGGGTGTCTAATCTGCCTAACACCTCTACTACTTTTATCAACACAACCTCTGTGGTTGAGTAGGTACCAGCCAGTTTGAGAGTGTCTGGGTGCAGGGGATGGACCGAGTGGAATGCCCGACTTGCTTTCTGGCCGTGAAACCTCTTAGTAAAGGCACAACGACCCAGGACGTGACGGTCCAATGGCTTTCCAACTTGGCCAATACCTCATGAAAGAATAGAAAACTTTAGCCAGTAGCCATTGGTGGCGGGGAATGGGCAACGTGAACCCTACCGGAATTACACGGTCACATGGCAGTTAGGTCTTTCCAGTCTCATGAAAACTAGTACCCTCCTATCCTCAACATGAATGGCCTCTTCTCAGGGTGGGAAGACAGTCCACAGACACCCCAGTCCACAATGCCATGACACAAAGAAATAAATTACATGCGAGCTCGGACGTCGCCTCGTTAAACAAGGTCCGCGCCAGGCAGCACAATCACCAGGCTGCTCTGAGCGACAAGTCAGCTACTGGTGATACACACAGAAACAGTGCTAAACCAGCACCGAAAAGCTCTCGGCTTGAGAAGGGAGCCAGTTACACCCCCAACCAGAAGAAGAGTTCCATCAACCTCTTGCAACTCAACATCTGTGGTTTGAGGAACAAGAAAACAGAACTCCTCAAAGTACTGAAGGACAAGCAGATTCATGTTGCCCTCCTTCAAGAAACCCGACACAAAGGTACGGACCTGAACCTCACAAGATACACCAGTTACGCCTGCACATGCACAGGATGCCGTGGTGTAGTCACTTACCTGCGAAACAATGTTCAGGGAGATGTCGTACACTTATCATCTGCCCAACCGACAGACATCCAGAAGGCCACCATATGGCACATTGGTAGGAAGTACACACTTTACAATATTTACAGCCACAGACAACATGCGACTTGTCTGATCTGCAAGCAACCAGCTACCAAAAAACCATTTGTGCGGGTGACTTCAATGGCCACTCTCCAGAATGGGGCCTCGTCAACTATAACGGCACAGACCGAAAGATTGAGGAGCTGTGCGAAACAAGCAACTCTGTATTACAAGATGTCAGCTCAACTCCTACCTTACTTCACAGAGCCCACTTGACTCTCAGCCGGCCTGATCTCACCATCTGCTCATCCGACATTAAAAACTCCTGTCGCATCGAAGTGATTGATGACATAGGAAGTGATCACAGGCCTATCTTTATACAGATCACCTCCCCACCTGGCAGAAAAATCACCATCAACAATAAACAAAATACACTACAACAAGACCTGCGCTCAGGTGAAAGTGACAGTAAAAAAGGCCAAAAAAGAGAAATGGACTCAAACCTGCAAAGATCTTGACCTCCGCCACAATGGAACAAAGGCTTGGTCCCTTGTCAGCAACCTCTCGGGAGAAAGACAAAAAGCAACCCTAAACCCTTTTTCCTTTCAGGCAGCACCATCACTGAAGACCAGAAGAAAGCCGAACATTTTAACCGTTTTTTCGCCTCTGTAAAACAGGGCAGGCAG